ATGCTTGGTATCAGAGCCGCGCTGATTGTAGGACACGCTAGACCGTTAGTGCATTAGTGAAACGGTAGATAGCTTCGTCTGAGTGCCGGTAGTCATAGAAATTGGTTGCTGCATTGCATGCATGTTTATTTGTTGTTATTACTAACCGTATGGTTTGTGAGTGTAGATGGTTCCAGTACCGATCTTGTACCATCCCGAGCCAGCTCCATGCACATTGCCGCACCTGCTTCAGAATGTGTGGCGACGACTCTATCCAGAGGGTGCTGATCCAGAGTATCGGGTGTATCGGGAGCATCTGGTCGGTGCATTGTATGAGTATTATGATGAGGTCACTCTACACCACAGTTCCCCTTCCGATGCTTACACTCATTCTACTAAGGGTGGTCTTGCTTCTATGCCATCTCAGGCGGTTCAGTTTGCTGCTATCGAGGCTCCTGTAGACTTGCGCTACAACGAGGTTCGCATGCACACCCACCCAGGTCTCTTCTACTACCCATCTCTGCACGAGAATGGGCGTATCCGCTTTCCTTTGATTAATCCGGTGTGCGATCGTCCCACTATCCACCTTTCCCGCTATATCACTTCCAGTTATCTCCTGAACTACGAGTTAGCTCGGGAGCTCTCACGTGCCCGGGCAGCTCTCGCTGCTGCTCGTACTAGGAACCCTCTTCCCACTGTCATCTACACTACTCTAGTTTCTTCCGCCTCCATTCCCCCGGTGACTTCGCAGGGTACCGTTAACCTTCTTACGGTGACCCCTCGCAGTGCTCCTGCTGCATGGGCTTCCCTTGTTGCTACTCTTGCTGCTCCTATGCTTAGATCCCATCCCGCACCTGCCCCTGAGAGAGAGCCCTCGAGGCAGCACCGTCGCGTCTCTCTTAACCCGGAGGTCTCTACTATCAGTTCAGGATCTGGGTCCGGCTCAGGAGAGGAGCCCGCAGCAGCATAGTCCGAGCAGTAGACCGTTAGAGTATTGCTTTCATCATGAGTATGATGTATGGGTGTAATCGCACGTGTCATGATGCTTAGTTTCATGTATGAGGGTAGTACCCGTTGTGACGTTTACTTTCATGTTGAGTCTATGTATAATTATGTTGGAATCTTTTATTCACCTTGGCTTTCTTTCACGGTTTTCTTTCGGGATTTGTCAATGGCTTTCCTCCCACGTTGGATTTTTCTCATCACGGTTGCTATGTATTGGGAAAATAAATAATAGAATGATGCGTGGAGGCAGCAGCAGCCAAGCTTGTGAGGATGTCCCTGTCCGTCGCTCCGCAAGGCAGGCAAGACATTCCTCGAGCCATACCAGCCACCTCCGTCTCCACCGCCACATCCGCCTTCCACTGAGAAAATCCTGCGAATGTTTGAAGAAAGAAGGAGCAACAATCTGCTGGTAATATTGAAAAGTGTGCAAGTTATGGTTGGGCAGAATGGAAACCGGAATGGTCATCACTCCAAGCTATCAGAATTTCAGCGAACCAAGCCTCCCAGTTTCAGCCAAGTTATTGACCCATTGGACGCCGATGATTAGTTACGAACTATTGAGAGGAAACTGGAGATTGCTCGCACTGAAGAAGGCGACAAGGTTCCCTTCGCAACGCATTATCTCGAAGGAGTTGCCGCTATAATAATGCTAAGGAAATATGGCCCGCGGACAAGGAAATTACTTGGACTAAATTTAAGGACCATTTCCGCAAGTATCATATTCCCACCGGGATTATGAAAATCAAGCAGCGCGAATTCCTCGCCCTCACTCAAGGCAGCATGACAGTCAATGAGTACCTGAATATAAGAATTGCTTAGCTTTGGGTTCAATCTTTATGCATGAATTGGCCAACTAGATTGATTTTTCTTGCAATGGGAGAAATGCTTAGCTTTGGTTTCAATCTTGCGGTGCTCAATCCTAGTGATAGAATAGGAACTGACATGTATTGTATTGTTGCCATCGAGGATAATAAGATGGGGTTTCCATCATATTGCTTGAGTTTATCCCGCTACATCATGTCATCTTACTTAATGCGTTACTCTGTTCTTCATGAACTTAATACTCTAGATGCAGGCAGGAGTCGATCGATGTGTGGAGTAATAGTAGTAGATGCAAGCAGGAGTCGGTCTACTTGACACGGACGTGATGCCTATATTCATGATCATTGCCTTAGATATCATCATAACTTTGCGCTTTTCTATCAATTGCTCGGCAGTAATTTGTTCACCCACCGTAATATTTTGTATCTTGACAGAGGCCTCTAGTGAAACCTATGGCCCCCAGGTTTACTTTCCATCATATAAGTTTCCGGTCTACAATTTTAGTTTCCCATTTACTTTCTTTGCAATCTTTTACTTTCCGTTTCATAAACTAAAAATATTACTTTACCATTTATCCATCTATACCAGATCTCACTTTGCAAATAACCGTGAAGGGATTGATAACCCCTTTATTGCGTTGGGTGCAAGTTGGTGTTTGTTTGTGCAGGTATTCGGTGGCTTGTGCGTTGTCTCCTACTGGATTGATATCTTGGTTCTCAACAGCTGAGGGAAATACTTATTCTACTTTGCTGCATCACCCTTTTCTCTTCAAGGGAAATACCAATGCAAGCTCACGAGGTAGCGGTGTCTTACTCATTTTGTTCATTCGTCGGTCGTTTGCTAATGTGTTTGTTTGGGTTCTTTTATTTTATTTTTTCATTTCATTTTGTTTTTTGTTTGGCCTTCTAATTTCTTCTCCGGATTTATTTGGTTTCTTTTTTTCATCGTTATACTATGGTTTTTTTGGTTTCTCTTTCATTTTTCTTTGGTTTCTCTTTTGTTTCTTTCATGGTTTTCATCGTTTTTTTCTTGGTGCAATGTTTTTTGTTTTTCTTTGTTTATTTGTCGGTTTCCCCTGTTTTTCATTCTTTTTGCACTTGTTTCTTCGCTTTATTTTTCATTTTTTTTCTTTGGTTTCTTTGGTTTCGCTTTAGGTTTTCATTGTCTTTTTCATTTTACTTTGTTTCTTTTGGTTTCATTCTACATTTTTCGTATATTTCAAGAACATTTTTCTAATAAATATTTAATAATTTTCAAATACAAGTTTATCATTTTTAGTACATGTTCAATATTTTTTCTGTACACACTTTTAACATTTTAAAAATGCTTGATTAATATTTTTTAAATACAAAACTAACATGTTTTGAGTATATGGTCAATATTTTTCTGTACACATTTTAACATTTTCAAATAGTTGATTAACATTTTTCAAATACAAGATTAACATATTTTTAATACATGGTCAATATTTTTTTCTATACACATTTAACATTTATCATATGCTTGATTAATATTTTTCAAATACTTGTTTATATTTTTTCAAATGCTTGATTAACATTTTCTAAATACATGATCAACTTTTTTCACGCACATTGTATATTATTTGTATACATTTTTCGTATACATGAGAAACATTTTCTTTATACCCATTTAACACTTTTCAAATGCTTGGTTAAGATATTTTGATATATGGTCAACATTTTTTCTATACACATTTTAACATTTTTCAAATAAAAGATTAACGTTTTTTGAATACATGGTCAACATTTTGTCCACATTTTAACATTTTCAAATGCTTGATTAACATTTTTCAAATACAAGTTTGATATTTTTTAATAAATCTTCAACATTTTTTCTGTACACATTTAACATTTTTTAAATGCTTGCTTAAATTTTTTTAAATACTTGTTTAACATTTTTTTAAAGCTTGATTATCATTTTTAAATACATGATCAACTTCTTTCACTCAAATTGCATATCTTTTTGTATACATGAGAAACATTTTTTTATATGCATTTAACCATTTTCAAATTCTTGGTTAAAATTATTTTCAAATGCTTTATATATAGTGTTTTTTGCAATATATTTACTTGAAAAATTTGGAAGTATAATCAAAAGTAAAAAGAAAGAAAACAAAACAACAAAACAAAGACGTTGCCTCCCCTGCGCTTGATGCGAGAGCATGTTAGGGAGAGCGATAACTAGTTAACGGTCCCTCCTTCGGGAGCCTCCCAACAATCACTTGGAGGTGGGCATGGCCGTTCTCAGTCGCCGCTACATGTCGTGCTCTTGATGTTTCCTTCAGATTTTGCTTATTTTGCGCGTGTTTTTGGCTTTTTGGGCATTTCTTTCGTTTTTTTGGCTTTTTGATTTTTCACATTTCTTCCTTAGCTTTTAGACAAAAAATATTGCGAGAAAGAACGCTTTTTCTTTTGCTTTTGCGAGAGGCATGCTTTTGTTTTCGCGAGAGGCACGACCGTGCCTCTCGGAAACGGAAAAAGAGTGTTATCTTTTTTCCCTTCCTCGAGAGGCACGGTTTTGCTTTCGCCGTGCCTCTCGAAAACAGAATTTTTTTTATTCTTTTTCTTCCAGTGAGAGCGATTTTGCTTCCGCGAGAGGTACGGTTTTGTTTCCGCAAGAGGTACTGTTTTTCTTTCGCGAGAGCCACGGTCGTGCCTTTTTCTGAAAGGCAAAAAAACGTGCTCGATTCAGTTTTTTTGTCTATTTTTTCGTGATTTTTTTGTCAAAACCTAGATTTAATTTTGAAAATCTCGACGCGAGGAATTCAATGGTAAAAACAATTCAAGATTGGACGCATGGTTTAAGAGATAAAACGTTTGAATAAACGAATCTTCGAAAAAAAGAAAAAAAGCTCCCTTGTTGTAACAAATGATGTGCATGCAGTGCATCACTTGTTGCGTTCGGGATAGTAGTGATTTTTTTTAAATGAAAGTGATTTTTAGAAGAAGTACTCTTTATTAATGATTTTGTGTGTTAGCCTCGTTATAAGCGAGACGTAGGGCTGCCAAAAACAAGGTCCAAATCTCGTAGAACCATTTTAAAACCGGGGCCGGCCTGCTCGACGGCGTAGACTAGGCAGGGTCATTGCGGAGTCCATCACGGGGGCGTCCACGCCTCCACGGCCACCCACCTTTCCCCCTTCGTCCTCCAGTCCACGACGACCACCATGCCGCATGACCGCGAAGCCCCGGTCTCCCCTACCATTCCACCCCACCGCCCATCCCATTCCCCTCCTCCGTCCACCCGCCAGCCCGCCTAACACGGCGCAAGGAGGGAGGGAGAGAGAGAGGGAACCCTCTTCAAACCCTAGGTAAGCTCCCGCTTCGCCTGCTCGGACCTGCTGCAGTTCTGGCCGCTCCGTCTTAAGATTCCGCGGTTTGGTCCTCTGCGCGCTTAGCTCTGGCCGTGTGATTTTGCGGCGAGCTGGCGGCTTCTGCGCACTGCTGCGGGAAGAGCGTGATCGTACTGTAGCCTCTGTAGTGCTTGCGGCTCTCTGTCCGTCGTTAATTTTGTTTTTATCCAGTTTGAGCATGGAAGTCAGGCTCTGTTGCCGTGGCTGTAGAGGTTGCGGGGTTGGATTTGTGGTTGCCAAGTGTTAGGCGGAACCGTGGGGGTTAGAGGGTTGATTTGAGCGAGGCTTAATTTGGCATTTTAACGTTACTCTGCTATACTGTTTGTCTGTCGCGGCAGCGATTGAGTTGGTTGTCAAAGGAACAATCTAATTATTATATAGGGTGACTCTATGGTCACGGCGATTGTTTTGTTCTTATATGTATTGTGTCTTTGGTTGTGTCCGAATTGGATGCCCATGGAAATTGAGCTATGTTGGAAACCTTTGCAACTATTTCTATGGTATTTATACTCGCTGCCTAGTTACCTTTATCAGTCTGGCAAACTTTAACCTAACCACCCAGTAGTTTGACGGTTATCCGTTATAAAGTATACCAAGGGATCAGAGTCCCTATATTTGACCTGTCAGGATTTTGTTTCTACACATCGAAATCTCTGAATCGCCATTTATCCTTTATTTGGTAATCTGGTTGACTGTATTTAAGCTACCTCGCTGGACATTTCTGTCAGATGTATTAAGGGATTGTTGTCTTGTTGATGTACAAAGTTCTTGTTTGTTGCTCTTACTTATACTAGATAATCAACAGGGAACTCAATCTATGCAAATTCCACAAATTGAAGAACTGATCTAGCAGCCTTAGCTGCTAACTGTTCGCCTGGTGGAGATAATGATGGAAAGGGAGGACAGATATGTTAGGTCAATTTCTTACACCCCCCCTGCCGTTTGAGAAATTTCCATGGAACAATGGTTTGTCAAATTTGCATCCTCCAACTCTTTGTTATAGCAAGTTAGCAATGCAACACATAATTTTTGAGGAATTAACATAACACATGTGAATAATAGTGTGATAGATCCTTTAGTAAACAAGAGTACATGGAACTTTGGTGCCTCTACTTTCATCATACAACTGTTTGATTGGTCCCTCTACCTCAGAATGGGTCAGCGGTATTCTCTGCCTCTAAAGCTGCACTTAAAACTACACATTTTCTCTCTCTTGCAAACAGAAGGAACACAATTTTGTCTGACTTTATGTAAAGGATGAACCACTGAAAAAAAAAACCCTTCATGTTATGACTGTTCTGTGTGTTTTGCTTGGCTTGATGATGTGTGCAGATTTCAGGACTGCAGATCAGAGCCATCTGTTAACTCAGAGAACACAGTTTCACCATGCAGACATAGTGTATTTAGATCACTTAAAGAAAGAACTGGTGGATTATTTGCATTCCTTGGAAACTTTTTCCATTTGAAAACCTTGAAGAGATCAATGCTGGAAGACCGGAAGTCCATGCAAAATGCTTTTCACCCTCAAGGACCATTTCTGCAAAGATGGAACAAGATATTTGTGTTATCATGTATTTTTGCAGTCTCTGTGGACCCATTGTTCCTCTATATCCCGGTTATCAATGATAAAATTCCTTGCTGGTATTTGGATAGGAAGATGAAAATCACAGCAAGTGTCCTGCGCTCTTTCACAGATATATTTTATATACTCCATATCATATTCCAGTTTCGGACAGGCTTTATCACGTCTTCCTCTACAAATTTTGGCAGGGGTGTATTGGTCAAGGACAGATATGCTATAGCAAAGCGGTATCTGTCAACATATTTTCTGATTGATGTCTGTGCTGTTTTACCCCTCCCTCAGGTACTATGCTATCTACTTGGTTAAGCTTAGCACGAAGCATTTGATCACATTATAGCAAGTGCTTCTTTACATTTAAGATCATATACTATCTTATATGGGAATTTAATTCATGTGGATGTGCGCCTGGTAGTCCATGCATGGGAGCTATGTTAAAATAGTTTTTCACCTTCAAGAGTTATACTGTATAAAAATAGTTTTTTTGCCTGTTTCAAGAGATATACTTACGCTGTCTCAGTTCACATATTGGAGTGTTGATTGAGATGAATATTGATTATGACGATGCTATCATTCTATTTGGTGAATTTTCTGTAATTTGCAGTTCCCATTCCCATAGTGCAGTAAATATACACCTTTTTACCATTATGTCCTGAAGTCAAGCATATAACCTTGATTAACTTCTGTTACCAGGTGGTCATTTTGATCATTCTGCCTCGTCTTCAGGGCTCACAGTTCATGAAAGCCAAAAACATCTTGATGCTTATAGTTATATGCCAATATGTACCTCGGCTAATCCGGATAAGGCCATTATATCTTCAAATCACTAGATCTGCTGGGATAATTACAGAGACAGCATGGGCTGGTGCTGCCTTCAATCTAATAATTTACATGCTTGCTAGCCATGTAAGTGCTTAGTTCATTAATTTCTGTATTGTGAAAACTGTAACTATGTAAACCAGCTGTTCATTTTTGCAATATGATAGTGATAGCATGAGCAGTTTCATGTACAGTAAGAAATTATGTGGATTAAAAATAACGTGCCTCAGTTTTGCATGCGATTTTCCATTAAATTTGTCGATGGGGCTACACAGTATGTTAGTTGTACAGTTCCATTTCTTCCCGTTTCATTTTTTTTATAATTGTGCATAACATCCACATTGGTTTCCTATCTGTGAAAATTCTACTTGGCGCAGCAGTATTAAGTTAACATAATGAGTAGTAAATTTTCCGTGAAGGATAGGATATAAATGACTAAAAGATACATGTGGCTTTGGTGCAGTTCTTTTCCTTCATTGACCCTGATCGTACTTCTCATGTTTGTACATGCTCTAATTTTGAGCATTAGCTTTTTAGTACTCCCTCCGATCCAAAGTAAGTGTCGTGGTGTCGTGGTTTTAGTTCAAATTTGAACTAAAACCACGACACTTATTTTGGATCGGAGGGAGTACCAATTTATACTGTATATAAGTCGTAAAGTTTTCTTTGTTTATTTGCTGCATGTTGTTTCAAACAACTAGTCACTAAAGAAAGGTGTATCCAGTACTTCTGCCAATTAAAAGTATCCTTTGTGTGAAAAAAGCCTACTACATCTAATATATATTTCTCCAGATCTATCACTTTACGGAGTGCAAACACTGACCCTTTTTAGTATGATTTTGCTGTATCTGAGGGGTACTCCTCATTGTTCAGTCTTTGCCAATCTTAGAGGGAAATGCTGGGGGCTAAGTGCTTTGTTTAGATGGTTGCTCCATTTCTCTTTTCCCAGAGGTAGCCCCTAAAGTAAGGTTGGAATCCATTGACCGCTGCTTGCCACCAATCCACTAGATTATCGAACTTTTGTGGGGCACATGGCGTCACAGTTCAACTAGTTGAGGATTCTAGACGATACCTTCTGTACAAATAAGCATGGCCTTGATAAGCTCTGCACCCTGTCAAGAAATATTCTAGCACATATGTACCAATTTCCTAATAGTGTTGCTAAGGGGTATTTTTACACTGGTTTCCACTTTTTACAATCTATTTAAATATTTTCTAATAGTATTGGTTTATCATACAAGTCTTCTATAATATAATATTGGAAAAATCCATCCTACCACCCGGTGGTAGTTACCCCACATGTCTCATATACTAGCATGTGGTACTATATATACTATTTTATTATTTTAAATATGTTCATATACTATATCTAAGATATTTCAAAACAAGTTACATGAAAAAATTGCACATGTGCCCATAGTTTTTGTTATATTTATGAAATACGTACATATTTGTACGTAAAAAAGAGCATACTCAAAAAATGGTACATACTACCTAAAAAATTGTATATATACTACCTAATCATTATTATATACTACATACTACACGTACATACTTTTGGTTTCGACAGATACTACATACAACATACAAAACGCAAGTGGTGGTAACTACCACTGCTTGTAGGAAACATTTGTCCATATAATATTATCTTATAATTTTTGTTAACTTATTAGTATTGTTACTTTCAATGGTCAATTACTCGAGTTTGTATATTCTAGGTCATGTCAATGTCTGAAGTGACATCTGTTATTTAAGTGAAGGTGGTATGTAGCATTTTAGGTTGATTTGTATGTCATCATCTAGTTCTATATTCAGCATAATGGACTACTTTTCAGAAGTTCAAATGTGCAATGCAACTAAGCCTCAATGGCTAAATGTTTACCGGTGATGTTTAAGTGCTGCAGGTCCTTGGAGCAGTTTGGTACTTGCTTTCTATTCAACGGAAAGATGCCTGCTGGAAACATGAATGTAGTCTTAAAACAGGCTGTAAAGCTGCATATCTATACTGTGGGAATGGTGATACAAATGCTGGAAATGCTTTCTTACAGAATGTTTGCATTCCAAGTACGCCCGCAGACAATCTTCCAGACCCACTCTTTGGAATCTATTTGCCAGCTATAAATAATGTTTCGCAATCAACAAATTTCTTCGCAAAATTATTTTACTGTGTCTGGTGGGGTCTGCAAAATCTCAGGTTTGCCTAAAGACGAAACTGCATTACATAAATATATTTAGATTGTATAACACTTATATCTGTCTTGGTCTATTTAATGCAGTTCGCTTGGCCAAAACCTAAAAACAAGCACTTATGCTTGGGAGAATTTGTTTGCAGTTTTTGTCTCAATATCAGGCTTAGTTCTGTTTTCACTTCTGATCGGTAATATGCAGGTAATAATATGTGTCACTGATAGCTATGAATATTCTTATTCGTTTTCTCTATTTTAGTTCAGAATTGTAGATATCTTTCAAATAAAAATAATAATTATCATCCTTGAAAGTTATTGCATGAATAAAACTTGCATTGGAAACAGAAACATGCTAATGTTTTATGATTCTGATTCCTCCATGATCAATCGGCGATCTGGCGTGCTAGACTGGTGCTTAAATGTATTACATGACAGAAGAAATATTTGTTGTTGAATTACATAAAGCCAAAAAAACTGTCCAACTGATCTTGAGAAAGATGGACTCATCTTGGCGATGACTTGTGAATACTACCGTCATACAGTTAAAGTCGTGGAACTATCTCACGCGCTATATCATTATGACTTATGAGATAAACCAATATAGTCTTGGCACAAAAATGGTTGATTTTTCAAATAACTATAGCAAGAGGTTAATTTCTTATTTTCAAAATATATACACCAAGAGGTTAATGTGTCAAGTTGTCCAGTAAGTAATACAAAGATTGTTTCAGTTTCTCTCAGATATTAAAATACCAATTATGTCGTTCTTTGCTGACAGGTGACTCCTGTGCTATTTGGGCAACTAATTCATGCTCTAAGTGCTTACTGTTTTCTTTTGTCCTTTTTTGTGATTTTCAGACTTATTTGCAGTCAGCCACTCTGAGAATAGAAGAAACTAGAGTGAAAAGCCGTGACACAGATCAATGGATGTCATATCGACTTCTTCCTGATAACCTCAAGGAGCGAATACGACGTTATGAACAATACAGATGGCAAGAGACAAGCGGGGTTGATGAAGAGCACCTCCTGATGAACCTCCCGAAGGATCTTAGAAGGGCTATAAAACGACATCTTTGTTTATCACTTCTCAAGAGGGTATGTTCTTACGACAGACAAGTATCTGATTGCAGAGTAACTTGCTGCGCTGGCGATAAATACTAATGCTAGTCCCAATTTTAAGGAAGTTTTCAAAAAACCAGTTAATTAAGCAAACAATCGAACTATATACACCCAGTAATAAAGTCGTGAATAATCCATATTTCTTCCTGTTGCACTTTACTTTTTCCAAACAAGAGTATCACTTGAGCTGTAATTGTTAATTGTTAATCCCAGGATGAGCCAGTTTTGGAAAATATGCTCGTCAAATAAACAGTTGAGCTATTTTTACACCAAATCATCCGAGTTGTGACTTATGAATGATCCGTATTGGTTCCTATTGGGTTTGCATCTTTTAGGAAGGTATCCAACTGGATATGGTCATACAGTGTCATTGCCCAGCTTTTGTTTCTAATATCTGCGCATCTGAAGTATTGCCCATTTATTCATGTGTTATCAGTACTTTGGATTGACATGACCCTGTGTAATGTTTACTAGCACCCTAGCAACTAGCACACTGTTTCTTTGGGAGACACTCTTTGCGCACATTCTTAAGGAGACCCTGGACTTTGAGGCAGCAACTTTTTGATGGTGATCTGATGTATCGTTCAAGATCTTGCTCTCTTGGTTACCCTGAATGTGTCTTTTTTCATTTTCAGGTTCCAATGTTTGAAAAAATGGATGATCAGCTCTTGAATGCTTTGTGCGACTGCCTAAAGCCTGTTTTGTACACAGAAGGTGGCTACATCGTTCGTGAGGGGGATCCAGTAAATGAAATGATCTTTATCACGAGAGGAAACCTCATGAGCATGACAACAAACGGTGGAAAAACTGGCTTCTTCAACTCTGATGTTCTGAAAAGTGGAGATTTCTGTGGCGAGGAGCTTCTTACCTGGGCTCTTGATCCCAATTCAGCAACCAGTCTCCCCAGCTCAACCAGGACAGTGAAGTCAATGTCTGAAGTTGAAGCCTTTGCTTTGATGGCTGAAGACCTGAAGTTTGTAGCCACACAGTTTCGCCGGCTACACAGCAAACAGCTCCGGCACACCTTCAGGTTCTATTCCCAGCAGTGGAGAACTTGGGCCGCTTGTTTCATACAAGCGGCCTGGCACAGGCGCTGCAGAAAGAAGATGGAAGATGCTCTGCGCGAGAAGGAGGAGAGGCTGCAACTCGCGATTGTGAACGACGGTTCCACTTCGCTCAGCTTTGGTGCGGCAATATACGCTTCACGTTTTGCTCGCAACATGATGCGGACCTTGAGGAGAAATGCCACCCGGAAGGCCCGGCTGCAGGAAAGGGTGCCTGCAAGGCTGTTGCAGAAGCCAGCAGAACCCAACTTTTCCGCCGAGGAGCAGTAGTTTGCATGAGTGCCTTGATGGTGTTATTTTCTGCACGATCTGTGCAGTTGCATCGCTGATGTTGCTTACGGTTTTTGCTAGCGGCTCAAAGGTGAGCCGGAGGTTCGCAGCAGCGTAATGATTGAATGATGATATATTGCTACCTGGTGTAGACAGTAACACATATAGGTAATGGTGTGATTTGATTAGTTATCTGGTCTTCTGTGCTGTACATCATTTGTGCATAGTGAGCGCAGCCTAGTCCTCTTTGTGTTGCCATCAGAGGATGCAGCATAGTCCCACTGTGTTAGCAGCTGATAAGTGCGTTTACCCGCAGGTACAAACTCGTATGTGGACTTACATAACATAGAATTAAATGGATTCTTACATTATTTCCATAGACATACGTGTTAATGTCTGATCCATTATATTCAGTTTATGATATATTCTGCAACTTGAAAGTTGATGTGCTTTGCTAAATTTAGGACAGAACCTTCTTTATTAAATAGAAGAGACAGAAAATTGTGTGATCCAAATTACAGTACTGTGTTGGGCTTTACGTTGCTATCGACCTCTAATACAACTCGTTCATTATTTGAGCTCTTCTAATCTGTTGGCTTGGGATGAACCTGAACCACCACGAGACAACATTAGTTTCATTTTCTCTTTGGAATGCAAAGCTTCATAAACCTCATTAAGGGCGAGAGTATCACGGGCGTATTAGATTGCATCTCTAAAATTGGTGTAAGAACTTAACAGTGAACATAGCATCATTAAGCCATATCTTCTTCTATTTAACATCCTTGCTACTAGATCATATGCAATTTCTTTAAATTATGTGATTTAAAACATTGCCTTCCTTAGGATAATTGTGCAGGAATAGTTTTTGATTCAGATGCATCTTGATAGTAAAACCTTTTGTCATGCATATCTCTTTCAGCTTTAATCATAGGGCAACGGTTGCTTTCTTGGTCAAGACTTTGTGCAAAATATTATTTTGCAAATGGATTTGAATTTGTAACAAAGACTTCTTTTCTCTTCTTCTCATTAGTCCACTGTCCAGTCATCTCTTTTTCCTGAATCCATCCAGTGTATCGTCATAATCGGTTTGTGCTAGCAAGGGTCGTGTATTGACTTGTGAAAAAATCTTGTATTACGATCCAGCCGTGGGAGGTTGTACCTCATGGTGACCATCACTGGATTGACATGTGTACACAAAGTAGTGCAAACTGGAAGCAAAAAAAATTCTTTGACGAATTAATTTGCAATGCGAAATAATAAGAAATAGATAGCACCTGGTAGCTCTCGGGACTTGACCGCCACAAGGAACTATTCCCTCCGTTTGAAATTACTTGTCGCAGAAATGGATGTATCTAGATGTATTTTAGTTCTAGACACATCCATTTCCGAGACAAGTAATTCCGAACGGAGGGAGTAGTTCGGAGACTCATGGTTGATCTCCTCCGCTTTGCTTCGATCGATGTGTAGTGCTGGAACTCTCCTCAGGGTGGTTTGGCGCGTGTCCTTCGGGTTGCCTTGGAAGTAGAAATGGCAATGAATAAAATGTTCCAGAACTTCAACCATGAAGTACGACCTTCTGTCCTTCCTTTCGATCGAGTTATAAGTTAGCATAGATTCTCAGGTCCTTTTTTTTCGAGAGTACGCAAATTGCGTACCGTAATTTTATAGAAGGGAGAAAGTTGATTACAAGAAGCCAACAATAGTGCAAACACCACTGTTGGCCCACCCACGCCACAGCAAAAAATAAAAACTACACTCTCACAGAACGTTGTAATCCACCTACTCCGCCTCTAGCTAATCTCCACTCTAATATCATCTAAAATGCTGTTGGCCAAAGCCCGCACATCTAATTGTTGCCCTGTCCGATTGAAGACACAAGCATTCTGCTGCTTCCACATCGACCAGGTGGCACAGATAACCAAAGTGTCGAACCCACACTTGTCCTCCTTTTGAAACGTAAGTCTCTGCGTCATCCATCACTCCAAGAAACAGTCATCAGGCATTGCCACCGCGGTGGGTAGGTTTAGCATATCAAAGCAGCGATGCCATGTCTCGCGGGCATAAACATACCGAGTCAGGATGTGATCAACAATATCGTCATCCTGTAGGCAGGTGTAGCACACGGAAGGCGAGTCCTGAAGGCCATGCCTAGCTCGGCGATCGGAAGTCCAGATTCTCCTTTGCGTCGCCAACCAGGAGAATTTTTTGCACTTGAGAGGGGGCCAGCTCCGCCAGATAGCATTAGCTTGGGGGAAGGAGATCAAACCGTGGCATAAAGCATCATAAGTGGAGCGCGCCGAGTACGTTTGAGAGGCTGCACAAGGCTAGGAGAATGCATCATCCGCAGTGAGGTCCCGCTGCACGGTAGTGATGGCCAGCCGAATGTGCATAACTTGCATTAGGACTTGGAAGGAGGAGTTATTCGGGATGTCGCTGGCCCATCTTTTGTCCAAGGTGGTCTGCTGCACTGTTCTGTGGTTGATCGTCCGAGTGTCAATTAAGGCATAAACCAAAGGGGCAATATCCTTGACCGCAAAACCATGGATCCAGCGATCTCTCCAAAAGAGCAGTTTATCTCCTTTCCCAATAGAGATATGCACTAGGCTATCGAAGATTGCTCTAGCATCTATGTCGACAAGGAGGGAGAGGACCTGCCATGGCCTATTAGGATCCGTATGTCGGAGCCACTCCCATCGAACCCTAAAAGCCAATGCTTGGCGCTGCAGATTCTTTACTCCCAAACCACCAAACTTCAGAGGGCGGAAAATGGAGTTTCATGCGACAAGGCATTGGCCTCCATTAATCTTATCCTTGCCCGCCCAGAAAAAAGCACGCATCCAACCATTTATGTCGTCCAGGACCCAATTCGAGGCCTCAAGAATGAGCAATTGGTGGACCGATCTCGCCGCAATGATAGAATTGACAAGGATCAGACGTCCCGATTGTTGCATAAGACCACGCTGCCAAGAAGGAAGGAATTTTCTCACAAGATCAAGCATGGGCCGCCAGTCGGTTTTGGTGAGTTGTTTGATCGCTAGTTGTAGTCTGAGGTATCTACACGGGAATTCGGACAACGGGCATTGAAGTGTTAAGAGGATTCTCTCCTTGTCCTCCTGATCCCCATGAATGAGTGTAGCCGTCAACTTCTTGTAGTTTACCTTAAGGCCTGAAGCCTCTCCAAACATCTCGAGACCGCATCTGATGAACTCAAGGTCTTGTCTGTAGGGATGAATGAAGAGAGCTATGTCATACGCATAAATGGACAGCCGCTGCTGCGCGGAGATGCCTCTGTAGCTGGTTATGACTCGCTCCTCCAGGGCTCTCGCGAAGATTGCCGTAGGGGCATCCATCGCAATCACAAACAAGGACTTCGAAGAGGAAAGGCCATGAGAGAGTGTCAAAAGCTCTAGAGATGTCAAGCTGGAGGAAGACGTCTTTGCTCTTTCTTGCCAAGATTTTTCTTGCAACTTGCCGCACCAGAAGGAAATTGTCATGTAAGTCTCCCCTTGATAAAAGCTGACTGATTGAAGGTGACGATGTCTCGCATACGCGGTCGCAATCTGATGGCAAGTAGCTTGGCAAATAGCTTGGAAATGCTATGCGGCAAGCTAATGGGGCGGTAGTCAGTCACGGTATCCGCATCCGCCTTCTTGGGAATAAGCACGATCAACGCTCGGTTCAATTTGGCAAAGCCTCGACCATCTCCAACAAATACTTTAAGAAGTGCCGCCATTATGTCCTTTTTTATGATGTTCCAGTCCTTGTGGTAGAACGCTCCGATGTATCCGTCCGGACCCGGGGCTCGGTCTGCTGGCAGTTCCTTGATGACGGCCCAGACTTCATCCTCGGTGAAGATCTCTTCCAATTCGCTGAGATCAACAAACTCCATGCCCAAAAACTGGAGATCGAGAGTATGGTTCTGAGTATGAGCAGTACCAATCAATGATTGGTATAATTCCGAGAACACTTCCTCCATCTTGTCGTGGTTCGTGATGGTCTCATCTCCATGTTTTATATGTGTTATGAAGTTCTTAGCACGCCTCCCATTAGCCACCGCCTGGACGAATTTCGAGTTGGCGTCGCCCTCTTTCAGCCAGTGAAACCGGGATCTCTGTCTGTCGATTGTTCGTTCAAGGGAAGCCAGCCCGAGGAGAGAGTGCTTCAGAGTACGCCTTAGCCAAAGCTCAGACATAACTGTCTAGACTCCTGATTCTTATCTTTAATTTTACTAAAAAACATGTGTAATATTCTTCAAAAAAATTATGCGTAGAAACTTCATTCGATAATGAATGTAAATATATTTTTCTATGGCATATGCCATGTGTTTCGCTAGTAAATTGAAAACCTTAAAATACGTATTCTAAGTTTTTTCGCAAAAAAAGAAGTATTCTAAGGTTTATAATGCCGGGCATTATAAATGCTCTCTGCCTGTCGATCACAAATTCAGGACAAAACCTTCCAAATTGCAAGAGAGGGAGAGATAACAGTAAAACTGTTGCTTGAATTTGCATTGCTGTTGTCCAATGTGCAGGTCGCAAGCAATACCCACTTGATTTGTCATGAACTAGGCGCTGAAGGCCTAGTGTGCTGGATTTGAATTGTCATCATCCTGCAGAAACTATGCGCAGTCCTGGCCTCTCGTGGGCACATCGGTCACCGACACGCACGTTGGCAGGTTTCCTTTCCCCCTCGTTTCACAAACGTGGCAACGACACTGGGAGCGATCGACTGGCCATCAGTCTCACGATGACATGTCGCGACGAGCCGCTTCTGCGTGTCCACATCCGGATGGACGACGTCGACCCTGAGAATCCAGCACCACATCCACATCTTATCCACTGATCGCGTCCGTTTCCTATCCGATTGCACCATCTGTGCAACAGACTCGCCAACATGGCGAGCTCACCACCATGCACGCATGGGAGACAAGCGCATGATCTCTTCCGTGCATGGCTGTGGTGCAGGAAAACGAGGCGCACCAAACTTGACGACCCCATCGC